TCGCTTCCGTGTTGCTGTCACGGAAGGCTGAGTCTCAGCTTTCGGCGTCCGCGTAGCGTCTGGCTAGACGGCTCGTTCCACACCACCAACCTTCTCGTATGCGCTTCCATACACTCTGGCCTCGATGATTCCCAATTGCTCGTTCCAGTACGGAATCGCTGGGGTCGCAGGAGCGCATTAACTGTCATCTGTCTTTCTACGCATGCAAAGATCTCCCATCGGAGACATGTCGGCTTTCGAAACCGGGGTAGGACATCTTGACCGAACATACTTTTCTAAAGGCATGTCGAGACGAGGATATGTAGCAACATTTACAGTTTCCTAGGAGAAGCACAACATTCGTTCGTGATCCCGCATCGCACTCTCTGGTACGCGTCGTGGCGTCCCAAAGAAGCACGGATCGCCGGTGGTGGGCCCAGAACCTCCCCCCACCAGATTTCCTGCCAAACGTCAAAGTCTTGGTCGTTCGGTCGTGGTGCAACACCGGCTTGAGGTTTCCCATGCCATCGCAGCCTGCTCCCCACACATCCTGGACGGAATCCTCCGCCCCGCCTCTTGGCCGCCCGTCCCCATAACGGAGAGCGGCCTTCGCGTTTCGCCGACCGTCTGGAGTCCGTCAGTACCAACGGTAGCCTTTCATGCGCAGGGCAAATGATTTGCCTGGTCTCCCGGACTTCCCTGGTCATTTGACTCTAGCTGCTCTGCTTTGCCGCTTAGTTGACATGCCCTGCGCCTCGCATCCACCATGGCTCGCGTTCGGCATTGTGCTGCAGCCACTAGAGCCTTAGCTCTTCGCGTGACATTGCTTACCCTGCCTTTCCACGATGCGCTTGCAGAAGACCGCCCTGTTTGTTCTAGCCCAGCCCGCGCTACACTTGCGCCAAGCCACTGAGTCCTCTGGACGAAGCGATGCGTGTCAGCTCAAATCTTGCGCTGCCTGCGAGCGATGGGAGACCCTGTGACTTGCCTAGATGCGGTCCATGCAACCGCCCATGTCACTGAATTTGAATGCGCCGTCCAGGACTGACGCCAGCGTGCCATGGCTGGAGACGGCTGCATGCCTACAAGAGCGCCAGTAGCCCTCCCTTCTTGCCTTACACTCCGCTTTCACCTCGATCTGCAATACCCAACTACACTCTATACGAGCATTGAGCAATCAGCAATCTCGCCATATATACAATCATCTGAATCGCCAGCAGCATAAAATTGCCTGTTTCCGGCGATCTCGGTACCCTTGACTCAGCCTATCCAGTCTCTCGGATTCGCGCGGCGCCTCCGTGATCAGCGCCCGAACCCTACGTACCCCTACGCGTTCTTGCGTAAGGTCAAAATCGTCACACCTGTGGCCGTTGTCCTTTTGTTTTTAACGGCAGGGTCCTACGAGCATCTGCCTCAAGAAGCCTTCCTCTGCCCGCAAAACCTTTCGAGTATCAGCAACAACCTTCTCACACTCCTACCTTGACTCTCACACAACACCTTCACACAATGGACGCACCAATGATCGAGCTCAAGTCGGCTCTGGCCTCGTAAGTTACATCCTTCTGTCCCTCCAACCCAGCTAAGTCTGTTAGACTGTTTGCATGCGGACAATACTCAGATCTGACCATTGTTTGTGGTGCCAAAAGATACCCAGTACACCGTATCCTCCTCGCAACAAGATCCACTTTCTTCGAGGGAGCCTGCCGCAATGGCTTCAGGGAAGCAGAAACCGGAGTGGTTGACCTCACCGAAGATGACGCAGAAGCTGTTGAACACATGGTGCACTGTACGTATTGCATGAGGCGATGGGACCCTAGACTGTGCTAAATCTTTCTAGACTTCTACCACATGGACTACCTCACCAAGAAGTCGCTCTCGCGCCGATCCTCACAACGATCGAACCGACCTACCTCTCTACGATCATCGATTACCAAGAGGAGAAGCCCCCCAAAGAAGCTGAACCTGGTCCAAGTCGAAGACCCGCTCCTTGCACTCATGGCAGCAACCAACAACTCAATGCCGCTGACTCCCCCCGCCGACGAGCCCATGTTTCAAAGCATCGATGCCTCCTCCAAGCTGCCCGACACGCCGATGGCCGATCAGTTCTTCGAGGATGATGATTTGGAAAGCGAGCAATCAGAGACCGAGTTCGACATTGAGACGACACATCTCATCACACATGCCAAGGTCTACGCCATCGCTGAGAAGTAAGTACTACCATTCTCTCGTCATTGTTTACTTTTCGACGTTTTGCCTGAATGCGCGCCGCGATTTGCGGGGTTGCTTCATCTGCGCCTGCAGCTCTACCTCCCATGACTGGGGTGTGCAGCGCGTGGCACGGCGGTTGAAACGCCGACAAACTCCGCCATGTGCGTCACCGGCACTCTACCTCGCCAATCGCACCCCGCGCTGTACACCCCACTGTACCTTTGCATACACAGCCCTTTCGTCTGTTTTTCTTGTGTACGATTTCAAGATGCACCAATTACCTACTATGGTCCTTGGGCCTCCATGGCTGCATCTTCGAAACAGTCCGCGTCAGCGTACTACTACTCCCTCTCCAATCACACACCCATCTTTCATCACACCTCCTTTGGAACTTGCTTGCTAACGGTTTATGGCAGGTACGGTATTGCAGGCTTGAAGGCGCTTGCGCGTAGCAAATTTGCAGAGGAGGTTGACCTGCACCTCAGCAGTGCCGACTTCCCAGAGGCCTGCCAAGAGGCGTACGAGTCTACCTACCACACTGACCGTGGTCTGCGAGACGTCATCATCCAGACCTTCCGTGCCAACCCCAGCCTGTCGCTGCGACCCGATGTCGAAATGGCCGTGCGAGAAACACCAGGTCTTGCTTTCGAACTCTTCCGTATGGCGAGTGGACTTCCTGTCTCTTCCTGAAGGAAATTCCGTCACAGTCGTTCCCGCATCGAGCCAATCATCGCTGCCCAGCAGTGTGCACCAGTATCTGCATCGCCGCTGCAAGCATACGACTCAACTCCATGTTGAATCTCGTCATCTATCTGTGTAGAATCCTACGCGCGTCCAAGACCGGGATCATCCTGCGGGTGGTACGCAGCCGCCACACAAAACGTCTGTCTTGGCTAAGACAACGTGTTTCACGACAGTGCTGCAGTCAACCGTCGACGTGATGCGGGGTCAGCATGTCTTACCAACCTTATCGAGCCGCGCATCCGCGTAGTTCAACGTCACACCCGGTGTGCTTGAGCCAATGGCTTACTGACTCTGCTCATTGGCAGTCTGTTTCTTTCTTTCTCGAGAACTTTTGTAGTACTTTTAGCGATACCAATGAGCGATCTTGTATTTTTCTCTCCATAATTTCATCATCATGAATATATCCATTGTAACATTTGCTCTACCCCGATCTTAAGATCAGTCATATCACTGTGCATTAATACCCAGTGTCTAGGTGCTCCCAAGGGGCAAACACCACAAAGCTACGTTATCTTGTCTTACCAGTTTTACCATGCCGATAGCGTTTGCGACACTGCTATTTCCATCAACACGGAGTTGCCAATCGCCGCGGCCGTGCTCTACACGATAAAGATAGAAACTGTCAAAGGAATAGCCTTTGCTACTGCCCGCAACATGGTCTACACAAGGGCCGAAGATCGCGCATATCAGCCACCCACGCGGCTTACACGTGAGGTGTTTCGCTCACTTCTTCCCTTTCCCGGGATATGTATACAAGCCATACCAAGAGATCTACAAAACGTTTTCGGTCCGTTCCTCCTCCGATCTTGCCTGCACCCTGCAGAGCAGTGGGGACGGATCTAAACTGCTTACTGATCTGTGCCATGTGGCTTTGAAATCAGACGCGCGATAGAGTTTTGTAGTGTTTGTGCGAGCTGTTTGTCCGGATCATGGTGGTGAGAAGACGGGGGTCGGTGCATGAAGTTGGTCGGTTTTGCGAGAACCTTGATGTTGGGCATGGATATCTTGTTTGCGCGTTTGACTTCAGGTCTTTCTCGAATGTTCTGCGCATACATCACGAATGCTTGTTTTCTGGAGGGTTTTGCGGTATATGGGATCTCCACATATCGACCATGACACGCAGATATCGCATTCTACTAGGGTAAGGGACTGTAGAATAGTTTATGGCATGTGTGAGCTCATTGTGTCTTGTTTCTGCTGACTTCTGTACACACTTGCCGATGATAGTGATATAGGGAAGGATGCGCTACTACAACTATCATCGCCGTTAGGCAACCGTCACTAGGAGTGACGCTGGATAGTGGAAGCGGCAGATTTCATGGCATGCGGTCATTTTGGTGATGACGAGTGCAGTAAGGAGGTGCGCTGCTTTCAAGGAACAGGAGACGATGAAAGCGATGGTATCTGTGCCTAGATAACACAGGGATATGGAGAGAGCTGGAAATGGCAGTCGGCGTGAGCATCGTAGGGATTGCATCGATCGGGTATCATCATCATATCCCATAATCGTTGCCCTTCTCTGCCATTCAACGTAATGTCGTAGAGTGGCGATGTATTCGGTCGGTAAGCCTCGACTGTGAGACCACGTGTGTATCGAGGGCGGCATGCGACGATGGCCGTGTTGACAGCGAGGTGTGGTTTGCGGTATCGGAGTCGACGCGCCGTTTGCGTGTAATCTCACTCATCGTTCATACCTCATCGCGCCCTTTCACTTCGCGAACTTTTGTATCCAATGCTGCAAACTCTTCACAGGCACGATACCATCTCCATCTCTTGTGAGAACCTTGCCTGCGTGACCAACCTCAGCCAAGACCGATGACCTCAACCCACCGTCAATAGAAATGAATGCTCCAAAGGGGACTCCGATGCTAACAGATTTGTGTGTAGATGAACCGGCCGTCGCTGACTCGTTTCCGTTGAAGAGGCTCCCCGACGAGCTCCTCCTCCAGGTCGTCGCCCAAGTCCCCGAAGTCGATCTTCATAACCTCAGCTTGGCTGCCAGACATATCGGCTCCATGGCGCAGGAGGCACTCCATCGATACCCCACGATCTCTTACACCGACAATGCCATGCCGCGACAAATTGCCCGACTGGCTCGCACCCTCTTCAGTCGTCCTAACCTAGCACGCGCAGTAGCCCAACTCACGCTGCGGCCCATCATCCATCTTGTCGAGATCCCATTCACCACATTGTCCGCGGCTGGCAATCCAGTACTCCAGGGCTTCTTCCAGCATACACGCGTGTATATGGGCGAGACACAGATTGCGGCACTCCTCCTTGCTTCTCTCCCGAACTTGAAAGAGCTCGATCTGCAAATCATCTCCAACGGTAGCCTGCATGAGCTCGACAGCGGTCGTTATGGCCATGCATGTAGCGTACAGTGCAGGCTTCCAGTCAAGGCTGGGTCACACCCCCTCGATATCGCCATGAACCCAGGATTGAAGGCGCTCCGGAAGCTGCATCTGCATGCTCGTCATATCAGCTGGGATTGGCTGGCGTTGTCTTGCCTGAGGGCTGTCACCCTTGGCCTTCACTGTAGCGTCGATTGGGATACTGCATCAGCAGGTGTCTCCAGGGTCGAAGAACTGGTGCTGAATCTGACCACCGAGGTCTTTCTTAACGACGACCGGAGATACAAAGATCTACCCAAACTCTTTCAGCGAATGCCCTGCCTGCGATCGCTCACCATCAACATAAGCAACAAGTGCTTAGCTCCAGGGCCAAATCAGATCGAGGCTAATATTCTTGGGAATGATGCGCGGGGAAGCATGGAAATCCTCATCGAAACTATGGCTGCAGTATCGCAGACACTAGAAGTGCTGTGCATCAAGAAAGCCGGCACAGATCCGGATTGCTTCAAGTACCTGGAGCCGGTAACAAGCCTGGCCCACTTCAACCAAATGAAGCACCTTCAAATACCCATTGAAGGAGTTTTGGAGCGTGGCCTGGTGTCGAGAAAGAGCATTGGGGAGATACTGCCAGACGGGCTTGAACAGTTGCGCCTCTCAGGCCTATCTGTAGAAGCCATGAAGAGGTTGGAAGATGTGTCCTCGGAAGATGCTAGTCTGGCGTTCCCGGCCTTGTCAGGATGATAGAGAAGTGATCGACCGGCGATAGATACATAAAAGACATGAATATTAATAGATCAGTACACCAGATGGCCGGGAGGTTGTCAGAGTCGAGTCGTTGATCATGCGCATCCGTGATAATGGGTTGGGGTCATCCAGGCTCCGGTTTTGTCAACGGCGTCATCGTGCGGAAAGGTCGCGAATGCCTCCTGGGTAGGCTGAGAGTTTCTGTCGGGAACGCAGAAAAGATTCGCTATCTAACCGGCGGGGGAGAGTATGATATAAGACGGTGTTGGTCTTGGGGACCCGACGACGCCCTAGCGCTAGCGTGGTTCGCGCTGACACCTGCATGCGTTAATTCTCCGGACCCGAATAGCTTCACGCTGCGTCATTGGACATGCGATGTTTTACTCCCTGCGCAGCACTGCTGCATGTGGTAAAGCCTGGAGAGCGCATCTATCGCTTATCTGTTCAAGAAGGGGCTGCTGGCGAGCCACATTCGTGCCCATGCGTCGCGTCGGCGTAATCTCACGATGGACGCGTCCAACGCGTCGCTCCTCCCTCAAGAAACTTGAATCCAGGCTCGCCAATGTGTAAAATGCCCTTCAGCTGTCCGCCTCATATCCTCAGGTAAATTTTCCGCACTGCACTAACGCGCCTGTGGCAGTACTCGTGTCTGGCTCTGACATGGTTTAGGGCATACAAGAATGGCGACTTCACCGACTTGGTTATCAGCTGCGGCAATTCGACATTCGATGTGCACTCGGTCGTCGTTGGCTCAGCATGCGAGTTCTTCGCGAACAACATCAAATTCGGTGGAAAGGTGAGCCAGTAGCCTTTTTGAGCCAATCTCCTGTGCTGACAGCAAAGCAGGAAGCTGATGAACGACGCATCGATCTGCCAGACGACGACCCAGAGATGATCCGACGTTTAATCGCTTACCTGTATCTGGGCGACTACGATCCCACCGACGACATTGGCATCGCCGCGTTCGAACAACTCAAGCAATATGACCTCAACACAGCAGCGGCGCCCGCTCACCACCCCCGCCGATACGCATTTGGAAGCTCTCAGCGTCATGATCAATGCGCTTGCCTCGCGTTGAACCTCAAGAATATCGAGCAGTCGGAAATGAAAATAGAGCAGCAGAAGAAAGCGTCCCAATATGTCAGCCACCGAAAGCCCGACAACAGCATCGAAATCACCAGTCCGCTTACAATACACGCGAGCATGTATGCGCTCGCTGATAAATATCAGGTGAAGGGGCTTAGCCGACTTGCAAAGACCAAGTTTCGCGAGAGCCTGGATCACCACGTTGATTCGGAAGACTTCATCGCTGCCGTGCAACTCACGTATAGCAATACCCCAGAGACCAACCGCGGTCTTCGCGACGAGATAGTGCAGGCTTTCCGGACATATTTCAAGGTGGACATCACTGAGTTACCTGGCCTGGAGTCGAAGCTAGACAGCATTGACGAGTTGGCTTTTCTGCTTCTCAAATCCTGGCCCAGGAAGATGGAATCCGCAAGCCCTCAGAAGTTTGTCCCGTCTGCAGGTGCCGCTCACACGGCTTCTCATCTGGTTATTACCGCTGGTCCGCCCACCTCCGGTACCAACGCGACTTCCGCTTCTTCCAACGCTCCTGTGACGACCACTGGGTTTGCCTCTTATGCTCGTACGTCAGCGGCCACTACCTCTAGTACTCCAGCCACCGGAAGCTTGTTCGGAAGCCTCCCCCCACGTGCTTCGGGTGGATTCGCAGGCTTCTCGTTAACACCCAGTGGTACTGGTAACGCTGGATCAAGTCAGCCAACTCGTCCTTTCGGATCGTAACGGGTAATCCTGTCATGATACTAGTTCAATCCTTTTTCACCCTGTATTGCTATGTGGTATACTTTCTCTTCCTTTAGTTTGCCGACTTCATTTAGTGACGTTCGTTCGCGACTTCCTCTTCGTTGTTCGAGCACGTGCGATACCCAAACCTCCTACTGCTCGCGGAAATCGCTCCTGTCGATTCCTTATAAAACCCTTTGTAGATCACCGAGCGCACTTTCTCGCCGGATGCAATGGCTGTGCGAAGCTAACAGCTCTATTGCATCCTTGTCGTCTTTCTCTTGTAATTCTTCCCGTCATCCACCCGCGCGCAACCCCGAAAAATTGCCATTGGCACCGCTGCATCCATCGATTTTGGTCTCTTTTTGGAATCACGCATAATATATACGCATCTCTTGCATCGAATTCACCATGGACAACGTGACCAGAATTTCGACCTCAAACACAGACGCCGATGTCGCCTTGCCGCATGCCTCGTTGTTCGCATACTTCCGTGGCCCTGCAGCTGTTCATAAAGCGACAGATACCGGTATACTATCCAATGAGAACAGCCGTGGTACCAACGCGCATCAACTGCTACGTCCGCCCATCGATTACGACGACGACGAAGAGTCAAGACTAGGCTTCTGGGGCGAAGTGGATGGACCTAAGAGCTCGTCTGGATCGTACTCATTCAGCGAAAGCAGATCAGCTTGGAGAGGAGCAGCCGCTTTCTGCTGTCTTTGGTGTGCGTTCTCGGTCATTATACTCGGCGCGTTTGGCCTATATCTCACTGTCGACCTTGCCTTCAGCCACTATGGACTGGGTATCGGGATGGCGGAGTGGGTCATGTACAGACAACAGCTCCCACCGAGCAACACCCGTGGGGTGAGTCGCTCGCAAGAGGATAGTGGTATCGATGAATAGCGCACTGATGTTTAGCGTGCCTTAGATTAGGTTCTGCCTCGAGACTCCGAACCGCGAGGCACCTAGCCCACAGGCCTGGCACTACCTGAAAGCAGGCACCGGCGATCGTTGTACGACCGTTACCATCGACTTCATTCTCAACTCAAAGGAAGCATGGAAGGTTCAGCCAGATGCGATTCTGCTCCTGAGGGACGATGCGTCATACCTGGATCAGCATGAACAGATTCGGGCACCCATTATCTCCCGAGAACAACCACAAGCTCTTAAGCTGGGTGACGATGTTGCAGAAGAGGGTCACCTGGGCCAAACTGTTTGAGAGGTCACATATGGAAGCTATCACTAGCACTTGGTGAATGACACTGGCATTCATTTTCTAGTATGCTTCATTTGCCGCATTGTTTGTTTGGCATCTTGTAATAAATCTTTTGTTTTTCCTCCGCCTAGCAGTGCCCACTGATGATAGTAACATCGCCGCTGCGAGAACGCGCACTATTGGTGAAGTCCTCAAACGGTCGAGTCATTATCTACTTGTTTGGAGGTCCTCGAAGTCGCAACACGTGTCTTTCGATACCATTCCTTTGCGCATGAGGCGTATGAGATGCGGAAAGTGTGGCTAGCTTGCCGTCTCTGGGCTGCCTCTGAGTCATTGGTGAATGACACAAGTGTTGGAAAGGCTTCTTCATCGTCGAAAGATGGTATTATCGCCTCATCAGCGCGTGCCCATATTCGATAGGCTCGTGGGTTTTCCTCTTCCGGTACTGTGTCGCATATCGCGCGCTCGGCAGGAGGACATTGCAGGATCACTTCGTAGTGCATCTTGCGACCCGCGATCCAATCGCTGTATTTTTCGTACATCGCGACGCACTGGTCATCTTGGGCGTTTTCAAAGATCAAATACACAGCTTTCAGGTCCTGGAAGAAGTGGTGAGCTTTGTTGAGCGCGTCGAGCCAAGCAAAGGCCTTGACGCTTGGGTGAAGAAGCTCAATCACCTGTATACTAGCAGGAAGAAGCTTGCAAGGATTCGGAAAACCATCGCCAAGAAGAAGATCTTGTGGTATAGTAAGGGTTTCCAGCTGCTTGAAGGAAGTAAAGGTGGGGACCGGCCCCATCCACTTCAAGAACTCTTGGTCGAAGCTATCGTACGCGCTCACTGAGAGGGTTTTGAGGCTAGGCGCAACCCGAGAAAGGCAATAAACCATCCTATTACTCTTTGCACGCTTGGAGTCTTTAAGGATAGGTTTGACAATAGAGAAGCCGCCAGACGAGTGGAAGTTGGTGAGCTGGATGGAGAGATGTTCCAACCGTGGGAACGATGTGGCCGAAAGAAACCCGGCATGGAGCGCCCCGTTGTGATCAACTTCCTTTGCTACACAGCTAGCAAGCTCAAGTTGAAGAGTATGAACAGCAGGAGCGACGAATGAAGCGGGGACCCTGCATTCTCGCGCGACCTCTAAGCACTGCAGCTTCGGCAGAGTACACCAAGTCTTGTCAAGACGGCTGCCGAAGAACCGCAAAGTTTCGAGTGTCTTGAGACCACAGATCTGGGATAAATCCAAAGCTGGTCTGTTGACAAGGTTCCTAAGTCTTGCGTTGAGGATGCCTTTCATCCGAGAGGACATGATCGGATCGGTGCTTTTGGGTTTTAGAAATTCCAAGAGATAGTACCCAGGCTTTCCAAAGAGTTTGTCGAGAGGATCCTCTGCGTAACGCTGCTGGGACCATACAATGCGTTCGTTATACTCCACATCGTCGTCCGCTACACGAAAGTCAGGCATAGTGGCAAGGATCTCTATCTCCAGCTCGACCAGATTTGGAAGTAAAGCGAGAATGAGACCACCACAAGCTTTGCCGTCGCCAGAAAGTAAGCGCGCTTTCCAGTCTGGCGCACGGATGGCCCAACCAGTGCCTTTAGTACCCATGTCGTCGATCACTCGTAGTGCTTTAGCGATGTCGTCAGATGACCATTTGGGAGGCGAGGTTGGCTGCCCTCTTATAAGACTCATCGAGAGCTTGCGAACGCTAGATGCTAGTTCAGGCCGGTGAAGAAGCGCAAGCGCAAAGGAGAAGACTTGTTGGACCGCGCAGTGGTAGCTTCCCGAGTAGCGCTCGTTGAGGGTAAGGTTGGTGTAGAGCTTTTCATTCGCGATACGTCGCAGCTGGTGCGACGCGAGGGAAATATGAGCGAGGTCGCTTGGTTTTGTTGTATACCCCGTGATCTCATCGAGCAGCTCCTCTGGTAAAGAAGACAATGCTGCCATGTTCGTCGAAGGAGACATATCCGCGTCCGAAGGCGAAGTAAGCTTTGCTTCGGTTTCGTGGTGCTGCATCTTGGTGGGGTTGAAATTTGGATCAATTTGAGGGAGCGTAATGGATGAGAGGTATTGGGGAATCGGCAATGAGCCCGCAAATTTATATGACTGAGCAATGGCCACGCAGACGCGCAACCTTGTGGCCCGAGTCAATTCACCTATCTGCGAACGCCCAGGCTTCCATCGCATTCATTGTTGTCGCCACTTTCATCGCCACTGTCTCAAGACCCTCTTCCCCCAGCTGTACCTCATATTATAAGGCTACCGCTAGGCTGCGCGTTGTGCAGCAGCTTCCTTGATAGCCTTCTCTAAATGGATGCGCTCCGAGCTCTTTCGACCACCAGGATAGACGTAATTGTCAATAGTAGACTACTTTGACGTGAGTAAAATATTGACCAGCTACAACGAACTGTATTTACCTGAGCATATGCTTCGGCGGCGATCTCGACTTGCCAAGTGACGTCTTCATCCTCGTGACGGATCCAGCCCGCTCCCCCAGGGGGGTACCGGCCCTTGTCAGTCAAGTAATCAAGCTCCTTAGAAATGACTTTCGTGGTTGACCCATTCTTCTTCAGATGAGTGTAGGTTGGCAGTATGACCTCTAGGAAATTGAGGTTGATGCGATCCTTGTCAAGCTCTTTCGCATCCCATCGGCCAAATGGTGTAACCATGAGCAATGTAACTTCCGGAGGTCTGGCAAATACAAGACGCTGGATGAAAGCGATGTCGCGACGAAAGTTGCTGTATACACCGTGTTCCCTCCATTTGAAGTCCGGGCCTGGTTCATGGGGCGTATCGGGGCACGAACGGACATCCCAACCAGCTCTCTCGAGGAAGTCTTCAAATCGTATATAGATCACGATATTCCGGACGTGATCTCTGGGAACAGACCCGCACGGGAAAGGTGTGTTCATAAATCCGTTCATAAATCGTGCATCGCGGAAGTGGAGTACGTTCATCTCGAGGAAGGCCTCTGTGACTTCCTGAGCCATCTGAGAACCAAATAGCTTGGGATCAAATATGTAACGTTCTCTGATAGCTGCCAGCCGACGATTTACGATCGCTTTCTTCTCGTCTTGATCTGGTGTATCAGGCCAGGATATTTCCTCTATAGCGACCAGATTCACCACGTCTGCTGTATCGTGTTCATGAAAGAAGTCGTGGGTGAAATCTGGTATGTGAACACCGTCTTTCTCTACGCATAGGAACTCGTAGATTGAGAGGCGCAACTCGGCAACGCCACCTAGAGCATTCAGCAAATTCTTTGCGAGTTTTCTGAATCCATCAGCTTCATGTTTCATGATTCGAGAGTCTATCTCTCTGTCTTTAGTCAGTGACTACCGCTTCTTGAAGCTATGATGCTTACTTTTCGAGCCGCCTGATCTCAGCCCTTATCTCGTCTATTACGTCGTCTGGGTACTCTACATCCTTTTCACCCGAATCGATTTGTTCACATTCATTTTCCTTCGCTTCTATCTGCTTGTATAGCCTGAACGCGATGAGCACTGGTGGAGTTTATCGAGTGTTCATTAGCGACTTACTTCGAAACCTCTGGCCATGCCGGATGGGTAGCTGAGGAACGGCAATTTACCGGTCCTTCCTGCGAGCTCGTCATTGCAATGCTCTTTTGATGAAGGTTCGACTGAAATGTAATCTTGACGCCGCGAGACGGGTTACGGGTGTCTTCAGCTGGAGTTCCCGTGTTTCTAGTCCGAGCTTTTGCATTACGTAATTGACGTAAGTGGGGTTATGTTGGGTGGCTTGCTCCCTCACCCATCCCATCATCCCAACAACGCGTCGAGCTCACACCAATACTAATACCGTCTGGTTCACAGCGCGACAACTGATCATCTACGCGCGGCGTAAACTGAAGACGTGATTGTGAGTCTACGAAACCGAACTGCATAGGATGCCATGCTCACCAGAAGTAGGCCTATGGGGGATGATTGGAGTTAAACACATCGCATAAATTACAAGCATATACCAAATGATATCATGAGGAAATTGTATTATCATTAATGTCTATCGTGATCTTCTATGAATCATGTAGGAGCTCGATGACAAGGTCAAGTAAGTCCGTTATTCGTAGCCATATGTGCGGCTATCATGTCGTAAACGCTTAAGCAGGAGGAGAGGTGGGCTCAGGGACGCCGGGAGGGCAGTGCCAGTGGTCGTCGTGAGGCTCGCAGGCCTCGGCAGGGGCGGCAGCGGCAGATGAGGTGGCTGTAGCAGAGGCAGAGGCAGGAGCAGCAGATGCGGAGGCGGTGGCGGAAGCAGTGCTGGTGGCAGCAGCGGAAGACTCTTCCTCAAGAGGGGTGTAAGTGCCAGGGCAGCCAACACCGGGAACGACGATGTCATGGGCGTAAGCCTCAAGAGCAAAGTACTGCAGAGTGTCGCTGTTCCTCGCGGCGTAGGTAGCGTTGTTCTTGGCAAGAGCGAGGGTTCCTGGGTACTTCTCCTCTTCCTCGTCGTTGTAGTGCTCTACGACACCCTCACCAACTTGAGGAAGGTGGAGAACACGGTGAAGAAGGTCGGAAGCCCAGAAAGTGTTGGTGGCGCCGTTGGCGACGTCGTATCCGAGCATGCACATGGTGGAAAGAGGCCTGCGGATCTCGTAGGACAAGTCGCAGATGACAGTCTCGGAAGTCGCGTTGGAGCCGCGCCAGTGACCGGCCCAGCCCTCTTGGTCGCAGTTACCGTCAATGTTGTCGCAGCGGAAGAGGATGCCAGACTTGTCGCCGTCGGCAATCTTGGTGAACCAACCAAGAGGCTCACCAGTGGGAGCTTCGCCAAAGTACTTGGTGTAGACCTCGGAGTTGTTGCCGAAGCGGAGGATGTGGTCGCGGGCATGGCTGACGATGGTCATTGTCTCATCGAGACCCTTCTGAATCATGCTACGCTGGGTAGCGTTGCAAGAAGCGTGGATGGGGAACTGGTGAACAGCACCGGCATCCCAAGCTGTGGCAGCAGGAGCAGCCTCGGCGGTGTGGGTGACGGTGACAGTTGCCTGGCGAGGGGCAAGAGGTCCGGCCATGGCGACGGAGGCTCCAAGGAGCATGAGAGCAGAGGCACGAGCAGCCATTGTGAGATTGATCTGAGAGACTTTGAAGAGGTCTTGGAAGTTGATATGCGAACCGGAGTTCAGTGAGTGTCCCGAGAAGCTGGTTGCCGGATGCTTGATGGAGATACTTGCAGACGAGCTACAGGCCTCTTTATATTCTACCAAAATGACATCTCACCACTAAGGACTGTTCCTCTCGGTGCTCATGTACCGACGTCCCCGCAACCTCGACCGCCGAGACGTGAAGAAAAAACGCCTCATGGCTGCAGGCGCAGGTACATCAACCGGTATACTGCCGGCCTACCACCTATCTGGAGATGCAAATGCTACACTACACGGATCTGGAGGCTGATCTATACCTTGGCCTGACGTACAAGTCGAATGGTTGAGCTTGGCATGGAGGTGCACGGGGGCCTGGACGACATGTTTTCCACTCAGAACGTGGATTTATGGGTATTTAAGTACCATGATGGGCGCCCAATGGCGAGAAATTCTCCCACCCAGGAACATGTTGTCGGGAGGATTACCTGCGTTCGGGAAGGCCGAAGGCATTAATGTGGATGGTCGCTGTGTTCCGAAGCGGCCTCCCACGCGATATGTCATGTCGAGGGTGAAGCAAGGTAGAAGTAGGGCGATTGTCAAGTCACTGATTTCCAACGGGGCTGATATTTATGCAACCTGTTGCCCTGTGCAACTCTTAGGCAAACCGAACAATCCTTACTGGAAACAAGAAGACGACTGCTACATTTTGAGCTCTGGGTATTATTGCACGACGAAGAATAATAACAACGTCAACGCTTGTAGATTCATCGAAATGTTGGAGTTGTCAGAAGTAGTGTTAGTGCTATGCGCCGAAGAGCCTCCTAGCTGTGGAGGTCACGGCTACTACGGTGCATCCCCAACATACCTCGCCAAGACCTCCGCCACCTAAATAATTGCGCTATCCCACCCACCTACTATATCCGTAGCGAAGCCGCCTACCGAAAAGCAAAGACTCGGATTGTGTGGCCTCTGATTCGACGTTTGCTCCGAGACAAGACTTATGCCAAGGTAAACCATCCAACAGGGTACTCAATGCCAAGACCCCCCGTGGCGCTCAGTGTGAAGCGACAGCAAGCCCTAGAGACAAATGGATACCGAAGATTCTTCGCGGAATCCTTGTGGGGGGCTGCCTTGCCCCATCACGGTACATGCGTTCCACTCCGCTGACACGACGAAAAGCTTGAACGAAGTCGATATATCAAGGGCCTGAGCTGGTATCACCTTGAACAGCTTTACAGCCGTCGGTTCGCTCGTTAAACCTATCCGGTAGACCCTGAACATTCCTTCAGCCATGCGCTCTACCCTCTCTGCTGCACTCCTACTGCTTGCGGGCTCTGCCGCTGCGCAAACACCCACCGTCACTGTCACTCAAGCTGGCGCGACTACCACCGTCTTCACTACCGGAACCCCCTCCATAACGGCTGTGTCATCATGCCATCCCCATAACACTGTTCTGTATGTGTGCCCGTTGTCAACTTCGGCTGGTAGAGTTTAGCGCTAACTTATACAGCTATTGCATGTTTGGCTCAGACGAGTACCAGGTAGTCGGGCCCACTGCGACAGAAGAGTTCCAAGCGGAGTACACGCAATGCCATAAGCACCAAACTGACACGTAGGTTTCACCCATCACGATGTTCGAAGAAATGCTGACGTGAACAGATACTGTGTCGACGATGCTGGCGAAGATGTCCTGCTCATGACCGATGCCGAAGACTCGACAGAAGGCTCCTCGCACACGGGAGAAGAGCCAGCTGCTGAAAGTGAGCCAGCAGGAAGCAAGGGACATTGCCACGACCACGCCGGTGTTGAGCACTGCGTTGGTGGAAGCGAATCCGAAGTCAACTGCGATGCTCCCCAGCGCGACTACAACATCCCTCTACGAGTCGGTCTGCTCTTCGTCATTCTCTTTACCAGTGGACTTGGTGTATTTACCCCCGTCTTGACCCGGAAGTTCAACCTCGTTGGCGCCAACAACATCGTCTTCGTCGTCCTCAAGCAGTTTGGAACCGGTATTGTCATCTCCACCGCCTTCGTCCATCTCTTCACCCACGCCCAACTCATGTTCGCAAACCAATGTCTGGGTGTTCTGGAGTACGAAGCCACTACCGCTGCCATCTTCATGGCTGGGTTGATGCTGTCCTTCCTGGTCGACTACCTCGGTGCGCGCTTTGTCCAGTGGCGCCAGGGAAAACACACCGCTCCCAGCACCGAGGTGGCAGCTAGTGGAGACAAGTCCGGAAACAGCTCTCCTTCAGCGGAGCCCACTCATGACTTCAACCGCAGTCATGGCATTGTTCACGCCCATGGTCCGATGCGCGAGGCTACTCCCATGGAAGAGAAGATCAATGTAATGAACCTGGAGGCGGGTATCATCTTCCACTCCATCCTCATCGGTATCACCCTTGTCGTCGCAAGCGATGGATTCTTCATCACCCTCTTCATTGTTATCCTCTTCCATCAAATGTTCGAAGGTATCGCCCTTGGAACCTGCATCGCCGAGCTTCCCAAAGCTGCTGCTGGTACCGCACAAAAGCTTCTCATGTGTGGCATTTTCGCGCTCATCACACCCATCGGCATGGCCATCGGTATCGGAACGCTAGACCACTTCAACGGCAACGACCCTAGCACCATCATCGCCATTGGAACCCTCGATGCACTGTCCGCTGGTATCTTGACGTGGGTTGGACTTGTGGAGATGTTGGCAAGGGACTGGATGCACGGAAAACTGCTCAATGCAGGCGCTGCCAGGACCATCAGTGCTCTGTTCGCACTCGTTTGCGGTCTTGTGCTCATGAGTGTTCTGGGTAAGTGGGCTTAATCAAGCCGTTCTGGAGGAATGTAAGACTGTACGATGCTGAAGTAACGACTTTACGGTTCCACGTTGGAATGAGTGTTTAGGCTCTTATTTAGACCGCATCATAGTTTGGACTGTCACTTAGCTTATACCCTTAATGCCAGACCTATAGAAGATTGCACCTATTCTACGATAGTGCTCTTCATACTCTGCTTTCCAAAACTATCCCATACTTCCGCTCTCCATCCTTCGGGGCCGGCCTCGTGCTCCATCAATATTCGATATGGCTCATCGACGTATAGCGGACTCATAGCGCGATATGCTATGGACTTGGGCACTGCCTCTGCATCTCCATTCTTGCTCGTATCTCGCCAAAAGTCCAGCATATTGATGAGGTTGAGCGGTCCATGTACAACAGCATTTCTGTGACCCTCTACTTCTCTGCACCACTCAGGTAGGTAGTGTATCTTGTGCGCATTGAACGTCAGCGCCGAGAAGCGAAACAACGAAGTACGCGTTTGGCAAAAATCTCTTTGGTGCTTTCCAGTAGGTAGCTCTTTCTCTTCTGGCTTTGGTGGTGCTCTCATTGGATTCTCAGGTGTAAGCTCACGCTGAAATACCCAACTACGGCGGTCCGTTAATGCGATACCGTGGTCATTTGAAAAGGTCTTCTCGACACCCACGAGCAGCATTTCTCCTCCATTCTTCAACGTTTTAGGCTCGGCACTCAGCAGTTTCGTCGTCTCTTTGACTTCTTGGCCCACTCTCAGCAATGCGTTCCGGTCTTGCGCCCACGTCAACTCGCCACCAGCCCACATTCGTCTGGTAAATGGACTCAAAGGGTTCACAGTGCGATCTGTGCCATCAAGTCCTAATTCGGCTTCAATGATCGAGGGAGTGAAATAGACCAGGTGGTAGCCGGGTGGAATCGGCGTGCCGGTTGGCGGCGGGTTGAAAGAGGAGGGTGTACGGTTGAGTGTTATGGAGAGCAACTGGAGTTGGTTTGCATCGAGGAGCTGTTTACGGATCGAGACGGGCCCTTTTTGGAAACGGGTGAGGAGTTCACTACATGCTTCTGTTGCGGAGGCTTGGCGGTGGGAGAAGGTCGTGGAGAACAGGCGGCGGGCCACGGGGGTCATGATGTGGCTATGTTCTTATCACCCTGGAGCATCTAGAAAATGCTCACTATGAGTTTGATGATGCGAGATGTACAGTCCGTGATGGTCGACAACTAGAAAGGTGGAGGAAGATGCCGAAGGATAGCCGATATCGATAACGTCACCCTTCACGGACAATTTTGGTAACCGACTTCGGCGTCTTCCAAATCAAAGCAAACGTCGAGCTTCGGCAACATGTCCGAGCCACCACGGAAACGCGCAAAGTTGGCGTGTGTGACTTGCAACGCGCGACGCGTCAAGTGCGATGTCACGGATCGCCATCCTTGTAGCAACTGCGCAACCGCCAACGTCGAGTGCGAGACGCGTGAATCGAGACGCGGAAAGCACATCAGGAAGCCGCGGGCCGAGGCGGAGACGCGTAGTAGAACGTGAGTTAAACCCACTTGAAGCACCCTAGAATAGGTACTGATCCTGGATAGCCCACCAAGTACATCGGCGCTGAGCCCGCAGCGACACGAGGATGAGGTGGCAGCGTCACATGTTCTCGCGTCGCTATCGTCGAACTTCCACAGCCCCGTCAACCACACGCCAGCTTCCGGAAGCCAATACCAACTTCACACTCCGGCAGTGTCAGCAGAACAGCAGAGTAACCCACCAACAACAGGCTCTGTTCACCAAGATGATGCCGTTTTCCTTGGTGAAAGCAGCTCTTTGCGCTATGTGACGACAAGCGAGGCTGGTGAGCCATCAGAAGCAGCAGCTCATCGCCGACAGTCCTGTTTTCGCCATGCCGTTCCAAGCGCTGCTAGAGCAGAATCGTTCGTACCAGAATGGGAATCCGAAAGACGTCTTGCGCGCAAGAAGATCCTACAAGCAGAGGGTGCCTTTTCGTTTCCTCCCGCCGAGGTCCGGCTCGAGCTCCTCCAGGCGTACTTCAAATGGTTCCATCCACACTTCGCAATCATAGACGAAGAAGACTTTTGGGCCTCGTACCAAGACTTCACGTTTTCCGCCTTGTCTTTACAAGCTATGATGTTTATTGGCGTTATTCACTGCGAAGAGTCTACCCTCAAGGCTCTTGGGTGGGGAAACCGTCATCGAGCGAAATGGTTCTTTTACATCAGGGCAAAAGACCTATACGATTCTACGTACGAGACTGACAAGGTCAAAGTCATACAAGCTCTGTTTCTGATGAGCTTTTGGCGAGCCGGTGCGCTATTAGAGAAGGACGCGCGACATTGGCTAGGCACAGCTATTAGTCTCTCGCAAACAAGAGCACTACATCGTTCCGGGGGTGATACTGATGA